TTGTTCCTGGTATTTCGCCATTGCAAAAGTATGCTTTGCAAAGGATGATTAAGCTCTGGACAGTCTGTCTTCTGGCAGGTGGAACTGAAAGCATCAGGAGTAACTAGGAGTTACAGGTGTGACCTGTTGAACACCTGAAATATCTCCAGTATATAATACTATCTATGTGCATGCAAATACTTGGACACTTAACACACTGCTACTCAGGCTTTGGCATGAAGAGGCTGGAATTAAACTGTAAATTTTAGCCTTGTGTCTTTATAAAACAAAAAAGCAAACGGATCTGGGAGATTTAAGTTAAACTGGAAGTTTTGTTAAAATGAATCCACTCTTTTCTGAGAATCTGAAAATTACACAGGTACATTGTTATATCTATGACACCCACAGCATCTTTGTGGACTGAAAGCCCTATCAGCTGGTAGCAGCATTAAGAAAGCTAGAACATTCCAGTTCTTTCAGATGCTTTCTCAAACCCCACTTCTTTTAGGGTTCTTTTATGCACATCCAGTGTTAAATGAGGCAACTACATAACATTACTGTGAGCTTCTTTCCCTCTGTCTTGTCTGCATGTATTCTACAAGTTTGGGCTTTGCTTTTGTAGTGGACTCTGTAGGACAGTGATACCACCTGCATCATCCACTCTCGTAGAATGGTGTAAATGAATAACACACTTTCTGTGTATTCTGTTTCTTCATCCTTCCAGTAATAAGTCATCCAATCTTGCTTTTGTAAAAGTATGTGTTTCAGTAATATTATTCTTTCATCTCTGACAGATATCTTACCAGGCTGAATTTGTGACCTTAAGTTCCAAATGTTGAAGGGAAGTTTAGGTGTTTTGTTCTCTTCCCCACCCTTCTAACCTCTGACAAACCCTCATTTTCATAGAGTAGTGGTTCTTATTCACGACGGTGAGTCACACCAGTGATCTACAGGATTCCCAGTTCCTGTTCATATGTGGAAGTGGCTTTTATGGGAATCTGTTCTGTTCTTTTTTTTTCAATGACTTGTCGCTTATATATTCGTTTACTCCTCCAGCTGTTGTTTAATTTGGAACAAGCAGGTATTATCCTGTTTTCTTTGGGTATCAGTATCCCAAATAAAAGAATCTATTACAGGATACTGCTGCCAATGTTATTAGCACATAAGAACCTGAAAAACTGTGTTGGGCAGACTACCTAGTGGCATAAACCACCTTGTCCAAGCTGAAAGTGTCAAAGCTAAATAATGAATTGTGTGGATCATGGGAAGTGCATTTTCAAGCTTTATCTGTCTAGCAGACTGACAGGGACTTTCAACCCAAAAGCATGGGTAAGCCCATGAAAGCCTGTAAAAGCACAGTGTATTTCATGTTCCTTGTCCTAAGAGTGCAGTGACAAGTTAATGGAGGGAACTGAGTCATCAGATTTTGAAAAGGGAGGAGATTTGCTCAGGAAATTGTGGGAATCTGTGGAAGTGGCTAACGTTGTGAAAGTCCACTTTTGATACCATCTTCGATTTTACTTTCCATAACATCTATATGATCTTGAAACACCATAACCGCTGCTGTACTCTATTGCCTTCAAATATCCAGCTGGGAGGAATAGCCTTCAAAATAAAGTATTCCATTTGGAATGACTTTTAAAACAAAGCATTCCAAAGGTAGCTTCCTCTTTTCCTTTCTGTTTTAAATCTTTCCCAGTAAGATGGCACACATTGTTGAGTTGTATCCTCATTTCTCAGGTCAAACCAAGCTATAGTCAGCATGGAAATTAGAGCAGGTATAGTGTGCATGGAATAATCCTAAGGTCTATGTATAGAACAAGTATACAAGCTATCTGTGTATCCAACGTGCTAATAAAAATATGCTTAGTGTATAACATTTCATTATCTGGATCGTGATGCTGATCTGAATTCAGCACAATACACAACATTTAAGGGTCATGATAACCTGAGTTGACACTGCTAAGGTTGTGTTTAATGCAGCTTGGTGTAATTACTGCCTTTCTCATGTAGCTTGAGATGTAGCAGCTTGTGTAAGTGGATCAAATTTGCATCTGTCTGGTAGTGTTGTTTATGCCTTTTGGGGTGGTTCTGTGACCAGCTGGGAATGCTATTGAAAAAGCCTCATTCAAGCAGGGCGTATTTGACCTTATATTTCCTCCAGTGGAGCAAACTGATATAATTGGTACAGTTTATACTGTGTCCAAGGATTGAGATGTACTAGAGAAATCTTCTAATACGATTAAATAGTTGCATTATTTATTAAATAAATATCCATTTTATTTTAAACTTAGGAAAATGCAAGCTGATATGCTATATCAGCTGGACTCAATGTGTATTGCTGCCATGAACCTGTCAGTACTTATACATATTGTACTGCTTCTGCAATACCTCAGCTACCACCTACAATATTGCAATTAAAGTAATCCAAAACTGAGGCTCATTTTGCAAATCCTTGTCATTCAGGTTTTGTACATTCCAATTTGTATTCCAGGATTTATAGGTAATAGCAATATACAATAGCATCTACGTTCACTGTTAGGATTAGTAAATAATAAGTAGGAATCAGTCACCTTCAGAGTCTCATTCTTCACCTTCACAAAATCAACAAAAAATAGGTCAAAAATGTGCTGTTCCTTTCTGGTTCATCTAATAGATGCTTGAATAGGATAATCTGTAATGAGTCAGGCTTTTCTTGTTTGTAAAACCAGAAAACATGATGCAACCCCAAAAAGCAATTTAACTCCACCCCAGTAGTGTCAGATTTACCCCTGGAAGAGTCTGGGAAAATTTTTTCATGCCTCAGAATGCCTGCCTTGCAATGCACACACTGCTTGTTTCTCGTATTCACAAACACCTTTCTAATTCAAGCTGTGACCCTAGTGTAGTTGGCTTCAAGCTTCCATTTCAGATTTCATCTTCTCTTTGTGCCAATAGCCCCTAGCAGCAAAATAACATCTGGAGGGAACTCTGGGGCAGCTGACCATGCTGGAACCCTTCGTTGTCAATCAGTGCTGTAACCAAGTTGAAGATTAACTGGGCCAATAGTGCAAAAAATGCAGATCTAACCATAGGAATACAGCTTGGGACCTCCTGAGTTTCCAAGTTCAGACATAGATTCTCGTATCTCCAGTGAGCAGCTCAACTCTGAAACACTATGTGGGTTTGTATTTTATGGAGCTTGGCTACTAAGCTGTGGCTATGTGCCAAACCATCACTTATCCTTGTGTATCTTGGGCTTTATAAAATGCAAAAAGTAGCTTTTATCAGATATGTTCATGCAGAGTCAACTCACATCTACTGGAGGTTCTGCAGAGCCACATTTTCTGTGCCATGTTAACCAACTTAGATCACAAAGCCAGAGACCATCTATCCCATGCGATACAAGGAGTGAAGAGACACTCTTGAAGCCCTGCTGGAGTTAGCTGAGGTCTAGCAGAACCCAAGCAGATTCTGTAGATCATGTCACCATTGTTCTTCACTGTCTATGTAATCCAGGTTTCTCTAGAAGCCACATGATCCTTGCTCCTTATCTCTGTGATCTGCAGGGAGTTACCTTCCTGCATGATATTTTTCACATTCCTTTTCCAAAAGAATGTCATTCTTGCTTTGGATATTCAGTGAGAACAGATAGTGAAAACATTACCTCCCTGTAACCACCTGAGCTAGTGCTATTGCTGAATCTGCACTGCTGCTGTTATTATTTGATTTTATTTTATGAGGTTTTCTCCATGACAGAGGTAAGATCACCTTCCTGAGTCATCGTTCTTGTTGACTCACTCTAGTCAATCTTCTGCTTTCTCCCGTTCATGTCCTTTATCCATCACAGTGAACACAGATTTCTTGTTCCCATCAATTTTAATTCACTTTGCTTATATTATTGTGACATCAGTTTGTGCAGCCAGGTGATGTGAGATATTCACTCTCCTAATTTTTTAATTCTGGTCTCTGTTTACAGCCTTCTTTGTAGGGAAGGTGCTCTGTCAGAATCCAAAGGCTACTCTCCTTTCTTCCCCATAGAGGGATGGTGCTCTGTCAGAATCCAAAGGCTACTCTCTTTTCTTCCCCATAGATCATCCTGTAAGAGTTCCTTCTGGTTTGGTTCCCGCAGTGTGCAACCAGGCAATCAAAGAGTAGAGAGCTGGCAAGTTGAGATGATTCATTACTGTTCAAAATTATTTATTGCCTCAATCTCTTAACACCACTCTTACATTTATCGCCATCTGTGTTTTGTCATCTTCTATTGTGAGTTGGGTGGGAAAGATATTGCTTTTGTTGGATAGTTGGAACACCTTATTTGTTTGGAGACTCCAGACACTAATATTAGATAAGTAACATGCAATAAGGAAGGCTCTCTACTATTGCCTCATTATTTACGTTTGACTGTTGAAAGGCACTGCAACAGGTTACCTAGTGGCTGTGGCTCCCCCATTCCTGGAAGTATTCAAGGCCAAGTTGCATGGGGTTTTGAGCAACCTGGTCTAGTCCTGCCCATGGCAGGGGGTTTGGAACTAGATAATCTTTAATCTTTGGTCCCTTCCAACTCAAACCATTCTGTGATTCTATGATTTTGTACATATACCTTGGCACCGAAGAAGCAATGGAAGAATTTTGTTGTCATCAGGTTTGGATTTCACATCCAGAGAGAACTCAAGAATGCCCAAGATGTTTGTCCCACGTTCCCTATGAAAAGGAAGGTATTTTTGTCCTCATTGCAAGGGTGAGAAAAAGGCAAAAGATTACTCCTTAGAATAAAGGAAAATTTTCCCCAAGGTAACTGCTTTGCTATCTTCACAGCAACAGTATTTGGTAGCATTAGTTATAGCTGCTTTGCATCCTTGTTTTTTCTTGCATTATACCACATTAACCACAAGTTACAAATGGAAAACCTTCATTGGAACTTAATGTCCTATAGCTTAATGGCACATTTCAAGCTGGTTCTTTTGTATGTTTTATGTCCTTAGAATTAATAACTTTCACAGCTTAATGAGCTTTATGATTCCCTGTCCTTATTTCTGCAGGCACCCTAGACAAACATGTGGAACTAGAGAAACTTGTGGCCAAGTTCCTTGGTGTGGAAGACGCTATGGTGTTTGGGATGGGCTTTGCAACTAACTCAATGAATATTCCAGCCCTTGTTGGAAAGGTGAGTACGTCCTTAAGGAACGCATAGAACAATAGTTTATTAATTGTTGTAACAACTGTTGCAGTATTCCAGGCATGCATTAAGTGGAAATGCTTGATCGAGGAACAAAGCTTGATATCAGGAGTGCATGAGTCATAAGGCTGATGACCTTGTGAACATAAATATGCTCCTTCATCATTTTTTCTAGTTCTGGGTGTTGCTATCAGATATATCTAACATCTGTTTAAGGATGAGTGATATGGTTGTTTATCTTCTCTTAGTGAAGTTGCTTCTCCCTAAAAAGTAAGCAAATGTTGCATCCCATTTCTCAGGTGATGTGGGATGAAGCATTTGAGCTACTTGCAGAGATACTGCACAGCTAGCTGTGGTGAAAGATGAGGATTAAGATATTCTTTACAACACTTTCAGAAAACAAAGCACAGTATTTAGCATTCCTGGTGAACGTGTCTCCAGCCAGCCTTGCAAAGAGAGTTGGCAGCAAATGCAAGTCTTAAGTTGAATTCTAGAACTACAGAATGGTTTGGGTTGGCTTGGAAGGGGCCTTAAAGCTCACCCAGTTCCAGCCCTCTGCTATGAACAGGGACACCTCACACTAGACCAGGTTGCTCAAAGCCCCATCCAACCTGGCCTTGAACACTGCCAGGGATGGGGCAGTCACAGCTTCTATGGGCACCCTGTGCCAGTGCCTCAGCACCTCACAGGGAAGAATTCTTCCTAATACCTAATCTATATTTCTCCCCTGTCAGTTGAAAGCTATTTCCCCTTGTTCTGTTACTACATGTCTTTGCAAAAAGTCCCTACCCAGATTTCTTGTAGACCTCCTTAAGGTACTGGAAGACTGTTATGAGGTCTCTCCAGAGCCTTCTCCAGGCTCTCTTAGCCTGTCTTCACAGGAGATGTGCTCTCCGATGTTGTGACTGTATGACAAAAGTTGGGTTCTTAATTGGTGTTGAAGGGACTTCATCTAGTTTGGGGTATCTAACATAAACGCATGAAAATCCATTACTGTGTCAATCACAGCTCCTGACTTAACAAGAAAATACACTTTGTTGTCAGCCAGGAAAGTGAATAAGCTCCTCTTCAGTTCACACAAGTGTGAAACAGTATGAAATGTGTCACGCAAGTGAGAAACAATTTCTCTCTCTTGGTTGAGACAGAATGAACTCATTCTATGTGCTTCAGAAGCACTGCTATAGAGGTGAAGTCACTTCTTCACTCATTATTGAAGATGAATCCAGCTTTTGCAAGAGATTTCTAAAGTACATGTAGACAAGGGCTGAGTAGGGAGAATTGTTTCAGCTGCTCAGAACATGAATTTAGATCTGCAATGGTGCTGGAGAGGTTGTCCAGTAATTTCAAAGGGAACAGATACAGCAAATTAATAAAAGTAAATGTATAATATTGCAGACATACATCACAACATAAGATACTTTTCTCCCACTTAGCTATAAGCCAATTTTGCCTCACTTAATTGGCCTCATGTTGAGACTCAGGGCTCTGTCAGAGGTGGGATAGTTAGATATATCTGGCACAAATAAAGGTATGACTATATGCCTTATATAGAATATAACAATTTCGTATGTATTACTATTATATAGTATTATGATATATATTTTTATGTATATGTAATTGCCTGTGTTGGGGAGACCTATTCCTAATTTTTTATCTGTAATTAAGGCTTGCATCTGCATTTTCTTGTCAAGATGTGTGTGCTCTTAGTGATAGATCTGAATACCAGTCTTTAAGAGATTTGTATATCTCTCAACCTAGGAATAATCTGTGTTTCCAACACAAGTATTTATTTAATGTTGTATTGACCTTTGAATAATGAAAACACACCACAAGATGTACAATAGAAAACTGAGCTAAATTAGGGTTCCATCTTGAATTTCAACTGTGAATCCTGTCTCCTATTAATATAATATGCAAATCTATTTATTCTGCATTTCCATTTTAGTTTATAAAAACAAAATGAGTTTTCAAGTGGGTTAATTAATGAAAAATACGCTACAGGTGAACTGTATATGCATTTAACAGAGGAGGACTGGCTGGTGCCTAGGCTCCACTCATGTCCTAATGGAGGTGGGATTTATGAGGCATCTGTCTGTACTGATCTCATCCCTGCAGCCCAAAGTGCTGATGTCAGTTCAACCTCAGTATTACTCCTCCTTCAGCTACTGTCATGCAGTCTTTATATATGGGGTGGTGACTGCATTTTCCTTGCAACACAAAAAAGAGTGTAGATAGGTGGTAGGGGAAGCAACATCTCTTGGTTTTACTATAAACCAGTCAAACTCTACTAGGGTTATTCACTACTTTCCAGTTACAGGGAATATTTGTCCCCTTTGCACCACCTGAGAATCTGATCCTACATTTTCTGCCTGCCTTTGCAATGCATCCTGGCAACTTCAAAAAAGTGTCAGAAAATCTTGTTAATGTTTTATACTTACAACTTAATTGGTGCAGTGCTATATTGCAGACATGGATGTATGCTGTGCACGCCTGTCAACAGCCTCCTAGTTCATACAGATGCTTATTGTACTCCTTCTCCACAGGGCTGCCTCATTTTAAGTGATGAGTTGAACCACACTTCTCTCGTTCTTGGTGCGAGGCTTTCAGGTGCTACTATTAGAATCTTCAAGCATAATAGTGAGTATTGAAGTTGGGAATATTTAGAGACAGAGCTGTTTACACCTCAAAGGCAGAATGCTTCCTTTGAATGCTTGCTTTGCTGTCAGTTCCTAGATAATCTGTCCAGGCAGAAGGATTAACTGTTCAATACCATGAGTGATTTCTAATGGGAAAAGATTACTAGTGTAATACTATAATTGTTATTGTGCATGATTTAGATCATCAGGTTGGACCTGAATTTCAAAATCCAGAGTCTTAATCTCGTTGCTGTCTTTCTGATGTGCTGAATGTCAATATGCTGTCATAAAGGCTTTACTGTTATTGTCGCATAGTCAAAATAGTATAAACATACTTACAAAACAACAGTCCATATTTCCTGACTGTGTTTCTACCAGGTTCAGGGCAACCTCACATTAATTACATTATTCCATTAATGTGGCAATACATTAATGTGGAATTATGTTAATGTGGCATTACTTTGAAATGGGTACCCCGTTACCAGGGGGCTATTCCAAAGGTGCAGATAGTTATATCAAAAGCATCATCCCGAATATTCTTTTGAGTACAGTTTTAGTATAGAAATCACACAGTAACTTTGCAATCATGTAATTACCTTCTAAAATACTCATGCTTTTCAACTTTATTTAGTAAATGCTGTAAATTACTGTCAGAGACATTGTGATGGGCTTTGATTACAAGAGCTCCTTCATTTCCCCTATTCCCCCATTGCATATTCCCATATTCCCCTTTCCATCTCCATTGTGCCACCAGGCAGTCATTGCAACAGAGGTTAAGAAGCTAGAGAAGTGGTAAGGAATGAGAAAAGAGGTCTGATCCCCTTTGTTAATAGCTAATACACTCCCTTCTCTTTATTAAGTGTTGTGTTCAGCCCCGAGGTGAGGAAAAATGAATTATGCATATTCTATAAAAGGCCTAAGGATCTGTTGTAACGAAAAGCGCATTATAATTATAAGGTGTTATAATTAATATCTATTCATAATTTGGGCAAGAAGCAATTTCTGAAGATCATTCTAGAATTAAAGATCATCTGAACCTGAGTGTTTTTACAGAAGTAATTATTTATAGATTAGCCTGTACCATACCCCAACATGTTGTACTTCCACAAATCTGAATATACTAGGCCACGTTGTTATACCAGTCTTTTCTCAACAATCCCTTAGTTCGTTCAGTGCCATATCCCATGCAAACAGGTTTGCACCACATCTTGCAGGATGACCTACCTCTACCCAAATCCAAATACTCTCACAGCCTCTCCACCCATATATGCTGCGTGCAGACCAACTGGCTTGTGTCACTTCCCACAGCAGTTCAGAGGACATTCCAGTTTGAGGAGTGTACTGCTTTTAGCTCCTAGGGAAGCAGTGAAGACATCACTTGGAGCTGTCATTCTTGCTTTAAGGAATTTGGTCTCTAACTATCTCCAATATTTCATTCTGCTGCTAAGAACCTGATACCTAACCAGCCTCTGCTTGCACTTATGAGAAATTAAAGTTGATATTCTTTAGAATAATGTGTGAACCTAATAATATAGTGACCTGTCCAAAAAGCATTATTCCAGCTCTGGAAAATACAGTCTTTTTGAAGGTCTCAGCAAACATCAGTGGAAGCCCATCCAGCCTGCTTTGGAAAAACTCCTTGCTTTCTAGATTAAAGATCTGTTTTGCCAAAGTGCGTCTTGTACGCCATTTCTAAGACATTATTTTAACTTATTTTCAAACAAAACCTTGGAAATTTGTGCAAATACTGTTTGGAATTTGAGTATCATCTTTTGTCATTGCAATTTTGTAGGCCCTAAGTCTTAACCTACGCTGCGTTTAGACAGCACTTCACAAGAAGAAGCTTCACACACTCATGCTTTCTCAGCCAACTGAGTCTCTCAGTATGTTAGTTCCATGATTAGAACGTTCTTTCTAGTATTTCGTTAATTATATCTGTAAGTTCCACATCACCAACAGCTTTTAAAATCACATGTGCAGTAATCTATGTATGTGCCTTTGCTTTGGAGAAAATAGGATGTGTACTGGGGTAGGATAACAACCGAAAGGATAATCCAGCAGGTCTGCCTTTGTAGGGTGCAAGTAAGTACAGCAGATTAATGGACATACATAACCAAAACTCCCAGCTTGTGTTGGGAGGGTTCTTTTCAGTTAGGCAGGTGCTTGTTTGTTTTGTCAGATCAGAGCTGTGTTGCTTTTGATCCCAGATTATTTTTCTTGCTAATGTGTGGATTTATCGCATATATACAGACATGCACATGCATGCCCAAATTGTCAGAGTTTGTTAGTGTTGACATTGTCATGCTTACGAACAGGGGAATTAAGCCATTATCCATGACATACTGCTTGATGCAAAAGAAAGGTTCCTAATTCTGTGTTGGCCCTGTGGATGAATAGAAAACTTTGCACCTGAAGTTACCACTTGAAGAGCTTTAATAGGTATTAATTTCAGCATCAGGTATCTTACTTTTTAATATCCTCCTCTGTATTCTAGTAAAACAAAGCAATATCTTCCACCTCTTCTTTCCAAGGGCAGGGGATTGATATATGTCATTTCACATAAGGAAATCAATGACACTTTAAAGAGCTTGGCTCTGGGCATCAACTGGAGGATGTTACTGTTGTTGAAGGCTTGGCTAGGGCCCTTTGATGAGCAGCTGGAACAGTTCTCCAACAAGGTGCAGAAACAAAGAATGACTGAGTCCTATCCCAAAGAGGATTAGGGCTTACCGTGCATTTCATTCTTACTTGCATGTACAGAGCCAAATTGTGTGCTGACATGCGTTGGCTCATCTCCTTTGGAGCTGTGCCAGGTTATACACACATACTGTTTGAGTCAGTATTGCCCTATGCTAAAGAGAATGGAAGAGATGCCAGGTGGTACCACTACTAGTGCCTGAGACATGCTTTCTGTGCAGCAGGATTGAAATAAATTCAAATCAGGCAGCAGATTTTAAAGTTTCCTTTCAGCTTTCAAAACACAGCTTGAGAAAGCAGGTTTTTGTTTATGCTCCTTGTTGCTTACATCAGGCTCTTTTGAAATGCTGTGTAATACCCCTAAAACTGCTTAGAACATATTTACTTTGGCTGCAACTTCTTTGGTTGCATCGTGTGAGAAGAGCTGCTGGGAGAATGGTGAGGTGTGAATATTTAGAATAGAATCATAAAAATCATAGAATAGTTACAGTTGGAAAGGACATTAAGATCATCAAGTTCCAACCCCCCTGCCATGGGCAGGGACACCTCACACTAAACCATGTCACCCAAGGCTCTGTCCAACCTGAACTTGAACACTGCCAGGGATGGAGCATTCACAACTTCCTTGGGCAACCCATTCCAGTGTCTCACCACCCTTACAGTAAAGAACTTCTTCCATATATCCAACCTAAACTTCCCCTGTTTCAGTTTGAACCCATTACCCCTTGTCCTGTCGCTACAGTCCCTAATGAAGAGTCCCTCCCCAGCACCCCTATAGCTCCCCTTCAGATACTGGAAGGTTGCTATGAGGTCTCCACGCAGCTTCTCTTCTCCAGGCTGAACAGCCCCAGCTTTCTCAGCCTGTCTTCATACAGGAGGTGCTCCAGTCCCCTGATCATCCTCGTGGCCTCCTCTGGAATTTTTCCAACAGTTCCATGTCCTTTTTATGTTGAGGACACCAGAACTGTACACAATACTCCAGGTGAGGTCTCAGGGAGCAGAGTAGAGGGGCAGGATCACCTCCTTCGACCTGCTGGTCATGCTCCTTTTGATGCAGCCCAGGATACGGTTGCTTTCTGGGCTGCAAGTGCACACTGAAGCCAGCTCATGTTCATTTTCTCATCGACCAGCACCCCCAAGTCCTTCTCCGCAGGGCTGCTCTGAATCTCTTCTCTGCCCAGCTTGTAGCTGTGCAGTTATAAATGATTATTTGTTATTCTTAGTTACTTGTTGCAGTTATAAGTTGTTATCAAAATGAGGAGGATTAATAACAATTTAGTGAAGCAATGATACATTTTTTTGATTCAGCTACTTCCTGAATGTTGTAGAAAAGGCGTGCACACGTGGGTGCTAGTGACCTCCCTTTCTAACAAACTTGGCATCATAAATCTCTCTCCCATCCCTTTTTCTCCTGTGTTGTGGAAATGATATTTTTAACATAAAAATTACAGGAAACTTCATTCTATGATAAAAATATTTCATAGAAAAGAGAGTAAAACCTCCCCTTTCCAAGTTGCTACTGAAGCACATCCATCTTTCAAGGGCTCTGCTGCAAAGTCTTAGCTCATTGTGTAAAACCGTCTTATGTTATCTCAAACCATATAGTCTGTAATACTGGATCTATTTGTCATTACTCAGAAGTAAATAAGTATGCTTTTATTAATAACATATATTTCATTAGTAAACCAAGACATAATCTATGTTACCTTAATTGGGTGTAATGCAATTCCTATTCTTACAGAAGTTAATGAAGTTCTATTTCAATATGTGAGTAGCTGTCCTGGGCACTGCACTTTCCACACTATATCTGAATAGTTTTGCTAGAACAGGCAGAATTGCTATATCTCTGTGCTTCTCCCACGTAAAATAAAAGGCATCTGGATGTTTCTTCTGCTTGACAAAAACATTGCCCAGGTGTATGGGAAGGTTTTCAAGACTTAAGTTTAAGAATAGAACAAAAATGTATTGTGGACCTATAAGTCCGTTTTTATTTGGTCGTAGGAATGTGCCCTGCATCTTGCCTGCCGGTGAACAATCCCTTCCTTGTAAACAGACAGGAATTTACAGTCTTTGGCTAAGAAAACGCACAGGCACACACCTACATATCATCTACCTATGTGAGAGAAATTAAGAAGAATACTCCATTTCTGCCTTCCTGTGTGCTTTCGTTAGCACTATTTCTAGTCTTCACCCTGCACTGGTCACACCAGTATGCCACAGGGTATTTGGCCTTTAAGGGACTTTTTCTGTTTCAGGGACTTTTGTGGATGCTAGCAGCAAAGCTCTGATCCTTGGAGCCTCTGC